TCTCAGGCTCCACCTATCAGCACGTCACCTGATCTGACCGACCTGATGACACAAAGGTCTCCATGGAAATGCCTGGAGGGCTTTTCCTTCAACGAAGGCGCCTGTGGCACATGAGGCTCAAACTTTACCCAGAATGCACTTTGTGAAGCTCCCTGCAGTGAACGATTAGACACGGATAGTCAGCGGCGTCTTAGTTTCGTATCTCAGCGGTCTGCTGCTCTCGCTCTGTCTCCTCCCCTCTGTGGGCGCAGCGAGCAGCGAGCTGAGAGCGCTCGGCCTGAACAAGCTGACTAAAGTTTAAATACAGGAAACAGGAGTCAGCGTGTTTCTGTACACTGACAGGAAGTGACAGCTAGTCACAGGATCGAACCCTGACCCTCGCCATGGTAACCATCTCCAAACAAAGACTGCCACCGTCCATTTATCATTCAAACATCACACAGCCCGGGTCAGCTGACAGGAAGTATCAACTCCCAGCATGCACCTCTCTCTGGGAAACAGAGCGCTTTGTTCTCAGTGGCATCGACGCCGCCGCAATGACCATAAAGGAAAGAAAAGGGCGGGGCGTTTGTAAAGCAGGTGAGTCTGAGCGATGCGACTGGCTGACAGGACCGGTGAGGCTCATATACAACAGACAGACGGGTAGGCGGGGCGTTACCTGGACAGGTGGCGTGGATGTGACCAGGGATCCGTTGGGACTGTAGGAGAACACGGTGAAGTCTGTAGGCAGCAGCATCCTGAAACAGGACAGTCATGTGACCAACTTCACTTTAACCCCGAACCCCCGACTGCAGGTGTGAGTCTGACACGTCACACCTTCACCCGCCTCCCTCCCGCTGGCGCTCAGTCAGGTGTTAGAAACGGAAACAGTTTTATTAACAGTAAAATCTCTCAGCTGTTTGGTTCACGTCGTGTTTTTATCAGGTGGCGTTTCCACACCAGGACGTCCTGATCACCTGTCAGACTTTAAAATGTGATTTTGTGACCATGAAGTAAAAAACATGTCAGCCGTCTGTTGGCGAGCTTCGATCTCAGCGATCGTACGATTGTGCACACGTCACCGCCCCTCATCAGAACTTACGCGTTTCTCTCCAGATGGACGACGCGCTCGCTTCCATCCACGCTGATGATGTAGGACACCTGCACACACAGAAAGGTAACTTTGAAGTGTGACAGCTTGGAGAATAAAACACTGAGCATGTGTGAAGGTGGAGATCAGCCAATCAGAAAGCAGAACACCAAGACGTCTCATTCCCTGCCGTCCTGTCGCCATGTTGGATTCACAGCCACAGAGCTCAGAGAGCGACGCGCCGGGATTACCGCTTCGATCCTCACGAGGAGCATGTTAGCTAACAGTGACGGCGCTAATTAACAGCAAACGCGCTGACACTAGCGTCCGATATGTGGCAGACACACAGTCGCTCCCAGCAGTGGTTACCTTTGTACCCGTGATGTTTGCGGGCTCCACTTCCTGCTCCGTGTTGTGGGTTATTTCGGAGCACGAAGCTTCTCCAGGTTTCATTTTTACCTCGTTTTAGCTCAAACGGCTAAAACAGCTCGTGTTAAAGACACGCTCCATCTGCTGTGAACAAAGACTTCGTCGACTCTAGTCACTTTCCGCCGCGGTGGAAAAAGGGCGAGCTCGAGCACGGGCTGCCAAACATCTGCATCGCCTTCATCACGCATCCCGCTGCTCGCCGAGCAGGTCACCTGAGCCTCTGACTCACCTGGCTCTGTGTGTGTGTGTCTGTGTGTGTGTCTGTGTGTGTCACCAGAACTATAATTAGCGCACGCAGACAGCTGGTGTGGACAGGAAGTCAGCGGTGGTCTCCATCGTCCAGCTGCCAGCAGCAGCTCATCCGTCCTCTAACACAGCAGGGGTCAGAGGTCGGGTAAATCTGTAAACGTACCTTGGCATCGTCATGGAAACGGTTCAAGCTCAAACTCATTAAGCAGAGCTGCTGCTGGTTCCGGCTCGGTCAGCGTTCCCGTGGCGCCTCGCAGAGTCAGCTGACCTTGTTTTTGTAACGTTTGTGGAGTCAGGTATCTGATGACATCACCAGGTGTATGTACCCGTTCTCAGCTCCTCTGTGGGTCACGAACCCCGAGGCAGCTGTCGGCGCTGAGAGCAGCGAGGTCATCACTGCGGCGCAGTTTTTGTCCGACGTGCCTCCACAGGTGAGGAGCTCTCCCCCGTCAGCTGTTTCCACAGGAAGTGGGCGATGCTGACGAGTTTCAGAGAAAGTTCACGTTCAACAGTTTCACACAGAAAAACGTGGAAAAACGTGGTGATCCGAGCACGCTCACATCACACGATCCCGGGAATGATCAGCTGTTTGAGACACAGCTGGAGGACAATCAGCTCCGAGCGACGTGACACACAGACACACAGACACACACACACACACACATTCCTATCTAGCTATCTTTGTGAGGACCGAAATCTGCATTCTACTTTACTTGTGAGGACACACACACACACACACACACACACACAGACACACTTTCACAGGGGTGTTGTCTCTGAGCAGGCTGCACATGCCAGCAGAGTGTGTCATCGTGTGTGTGAGCATGTTGCAGGGTGCAGGGAGGGACAGCAGCATGGGCGGAGCGAGCGTGTTTAAACGAAGCCTGCAGGCGTGCTGCCACATGGACGTTGTGTTCGTGGCGAGCCGAACACGGTTTAAAGCTAATGTTTAAAATCTGTGTGCACAGTCGCATCAGTAAAATCAGTTTGGAGTCAGCAGCTCGCCTAACGCAGACTGGGCTCACAATAATCGGAGCTTCTTCGTGTGATGGACCAGCAAAGATGGAGTCTGCCCGCCTACGAGTCCATGGCTGGTTCTGACCCGGAGCTAGCAGCGCTGCTT